CATTTAAACATTTTAAATATGTATCGAAAACATTTGGAAACAACTTTGTTACGTGTTCATTTCCAGCGATGCAGGAACTGCTTTGACGGAACATTAACAGTCAATAAAGATCGCTGTCAAAAGTGCGACGCTTATTCAAGTCCCATTTCTAACGAACTGGTTTATGCCAAAATTACTGGTATCGTATATTTCAATAATATAATCCCAAGAAAACCTGCTATACAATTTACAGTTCCGCGAAAGTGTGGGAGCTTGTTTAGAGATTTTTTTTCCCAAAATACAAATTATAGGGAGAGTACAACGTATTAATATTACAATAATCCTTTAATGATTGATTATAAGAAATGGCCATTTAATGGTCAATTTATCTCATATAAAGATTTTTTTTCGAGTAGAAAATAGTACCTTGAAAATTATTTGAAACTAATCAGCCTGGTTTTATTCAAAAGTCAGGGCATACTCTCAAATAGAATTGTTTCACAACATACCATAGTTTCAATATGGAAAATGTGACAATCCTAAACCAGCCAAGTTAAAAAAAAATGCGAGGGAATTTCTAGAAGCCTGACACGCTTAACAAATTAGGCATCAATAGACACAGAGACATTAACATCTATATACAGTACTTTGCAAAAGAGACATCAACCTGCCCAAAAGGGAACAAAAAGACCCAAGCACCTTTCCACCAGCAATCAGCACCCAGATCAGCATAGAGGTTATCCAAAGTTATCAGACCAACAATCAAGTAAACAATATTCCCAATCAAGAAACTGTTAAAGAGCCAACAGTGAACAGTCCAATCAAAGAATCTCTAAGACCACCTAACCTGACAACACTGACAGGGCAAGCCACCAGAATACAAACTGACAGCAAACCACACTCCTTACTAGCACTGATGATGTTACCTGGATGATGTTAATTTTTTAAAATGTTGAATTTCAACTTTTGAATTCAGCTTTTTTACCCTCAAAAGGCTCTTCAGTTCCTCTTCAACTTCTGCCATTAGTGGTATCGTGCAGTTATTGATATTTCTCTGGGCAATCTTAATTCCAGTTTGTGATTCATCCAGCCCAGCATTCTGCATGATGTACTCCGCGTGTAAGTTAAATTAGCACAGGGTCAAAGTTAAACAATCAAAGAGCCATTTGGACCTGTTTCCCACAGAAAACACTGGAAACCACAAAACCTGGGTAGGCATGGCCAACTCAGTGTCACTTGCACCCAGTCACATGACCCCACCAACCACACCTACCCAGGTTTTGTGGCTCCCGGTGTTTTCTGTGGGAAATTGGTCTTTCTCTCTTGCTCCTTCCCTTTCATTTGTTTTTCTCTTTTTCCTGTACCACTCCCTTTTTCTTTTTCCTCTCCCTTCTCTAATTTGTTTCCCTATCTTTTCCCTTTCTCTCTCCCTCTCTTCTCTTTTCTCACATTCTCTCCATCATTTTCTTATCTCTCCCTTCCTCCCGTTTTTCTTCTCTCCCCTTTATCTCATTTCTTTTCCTTTTCCCTCATTCTCTCCCTCTAGTTCTCATTTCTCTCCCTTTCTCTCTCATTTGTTTTTCCCTCTCATTTCTCCCTCCATTTCCTCATTTCTTTTTCTTCCTTTTCTCTCTCTCATTTCTCTCTTGAGCGAAGATACCCACTCTGCACGAGCAGATATACCCTCTGCAAGCAAGTTGAGTGGTGCTTCCGGCGGCATTTATTGAAGTGTCCTCTGGGTGGCTTTAAAACTCACATGGGGGACTTCCACCACCCAGAGGACTCTTTTCAATCAACACTGGCCAGGGAGGTCACATGAGGATCATCTTCGGGGAAGCCATCAACGTGGCTCATGCTCTCCTCAGCTGCAGGCCTGTCCCCCTTTCCATTGTACCATCCTTCCAGATCCCATTCCCAACCCACCAGCCCCATTAGCGAGGTTGGCGTTGGTCACGGCTGGGTTGGACCAAGTCTCGGAGTGGAGTGGTCATGCGACCGGGTCGGCAGGGAGCCACAGAAGAAGGGTCAAACAGCCACATGCTGCTCCAGAGCCACCAGTTGCTGAAACCCAAATTAGCGGGATGACAATATACAGCCTTGTCACATTCCTTCCCCTATTTTGAACCAATTAGTTGTTCCATGTCTGGTTCTAACTGTTGCTTCTTGACCTGCATGCAGAGTGTCTCAAGAGACAGGTAAGGTGGTCTGGTATTCCCATCGCTTTAAACATTTGTCATAGTTTGCTGTGATCTATATACAGTACAATGAGCAGCTGTGGAAATGAGAGTAGTGTGGAGGGAAGATTTTGCCAGAGCTCAAGGTCAAGTTGCTGGAGTTTGGAGGGGGGTGACTGAACTTGGCAGTTCAAAATTAAGGCAGATTGGAGAATGTGACTTAAGAATCATCAATAGGGGCTGGGTGTAAGGTTTAGTGTAACAGGGAATTCAGATTTGGGTTTTCCCCAGATGTGCCAATATGACTTCTTCAATAAATGGCTTCTCTAATAAATTCTTATTTGGATGGACTTTGTCTCCGAGTGATAAATTTGAGATGGAGAGTTTAGTTGGAACGCTAACACCCATGTTCCATCAAGTCCACCATGTTAATGGGAATATATTTGTTTTGGAAGGAGAAATAATAAAAAAATCTCAAAGCTCTGTTAATCAATGTTAATTGAGAGAACCAAACAATGCATGGTCAATATCTGAAGGATTTAGAAGGAAAAGCTGATTTAAAAAACCCACATGGAGTTGGTTAAGATCAATAGGATTAAATAAATTGAAGGCTTTATTTTAGTGGCTCAAAAAGTTTTTGCCATCTAATGACATGAAGGCAAAAATTAAATATCTAACAAACAGCAATTGTCACTTTTCTAGTAAAATTAGTATCATGACTAAGTTGCCAGAATTATTGTAAATTTGCCAGATGTTTGGAGTTGAATGTAATAAAAAACTACTGGGACCATCAAGTTGAGGATTGGGAAAATGAGTGGAAAAAGACCTTATGGGACTTTTAGATCTTGTTCATAACATGCCTGATATAACAGCTGTTGAAAGAAAGAAAATCTGGTTCATTCCAGGGGATACTAGGATTAAGAGAAAACTGGAAAAAAATAGATTGAATGCTTATGGAAAAATAAATCCATTGTTGTATCAATCATGATGGGAGCTCTTGGAGCAATATCTAAAGCAGAAAATTTTGGTGGGCCAGAGAAATCTCACCCCCAGAGCACCCTCCCAAAGCAATTAATCCAGGCTGCACAGAAACACAAGGCTGAGCGCCCACATAGCCTGCAGGAACGCTCCCGCCCACTCACTCCTTACCCGGCAAACTTGCCTGCTAAAATTGCTATTTTTCCTTTTTTCCGACCATCATCTGTTCTGGTGTGCCAGGAGATTTAGATTAGCTAGGAAGCAGGAAATGGTTGGATTTCTTGCTTTCTAGCTAGTCTTTAGATCTTCGGTCTGCTTCCTTTAGGACTGAAGGTTTGCTTGCAAGCAAATTCAGTGCAGACTCACAGCAAACAAATCTGAGAGACTGAGCTAGATAGATCACTGAATGATTCTGTCAGCAACTCAATCTGCCTGCTTTGCCTGATTTTGGGTAAAAGTTTTTTTTTATAAAAAAATCAGTATTTACATGCATGGTGGGTTGTGAGTTCGCTTGCTTGGAAATGCTATGAGTTTGCTTGCAAGCAAAATTTATGTGACAGACTGAGCTAGCCAATGGCAGATAGATTTCTGAATGAATCTGTGATTCTCTGAGCAATTCAATCTGCCTGCCTGCTTGTGGGTAAAAGTTGCTCTTTTATAAAAAAAATCAATATTTATATAAATATTTATATTTACATACAAATCATGCCCAGCCAGTCACATGACCAAGCCACACCCACAAATTAGGTCACACCCACAGAACCGGTTAGTGGTCCCCGGGATCTAAAATTATGAGTTTGGTGGTCCCTGAGGTCCCAAGGTTGGCGACCCCTCATCTAAATGACTTCCTTGATACCCGGAAAAAATGATCAAATCTGAACACCCTAATTTTATAAAACACCACCATGCATGGAACTGCCTATATTCTTAAATGTTACCTTAATTGGGTATCATTAACATAGTGATACTAAACAGCAGTTGACTTGCCCAGTGGTTTCATGTGGATGCTGAAAACAAAGAGAGAATAAAGCCCTGCAGCACCTCACCCAATGTGATTGAAAACAATCTTCTCCCCACCAATCAACACAAATGAACATTAGCAAATATTATCAGGGAATACATGCCTTAATTTATTTAACATTTTAATTGTTTTATCAACAAAACCAATATATTAAATTGAAAAGTAACATGTATTTCTTAAATTTGGCCTAGTGGGTCCTGCCTTGGCCACTAAAGCCCATTGGGTAACTTTGGGCAAGTCACTTTCTCAACCCAGCACACCTCACAGGGTTGTTATGCGGAAAACAGGAGGAGGAAGGTATGTTGGATATGTTCACCACCTTGAGTTATCTATAAATAAAGGCAACATACAAATAAATGCATTTAAAAAAATAAAAAATACTGATACAATAATCAGTATCTTAACATAAGAATGTATTGATCCTATGAAACCCCACTTATTTTGTATCCTATTTCCCATCAAAGATTTTTAGAGAATTGTGATTATACCAATTACTCAGGAATAGCCAATGAGACCAAATAAAAAAAAAATCAAGTGATTTTGATAAACTAATCACAACCAAAAAAAAATGCTTCTGCAGCTTTGTAAAGGCAATGATTATGGGAAGAAGAAAAATGAAATACTAATACCACTTATTGTTTTCTAATTGTCAATTCAGAACCAGGACTGGTAAGTTCTCTTTCAAGGGCAGAGGATCAGATCTTTGCCCTGGTTTTTCTCCTAGAAGTTAAAGCTTTTCTGGTGACTTTATTCCTATAATTGACAACAGTTTTCACTACCACTCCTCTTGCTAGATTGCAAATGTCAAAATCATCAATATAATTCACTACAATGACTACTAAAAGTAGTAACAGCAAGAATTTGTGATCTCACATTAACAGAAATAAACTTTAATGGTAGCAATTTACAGACCTTAGGGAAAAACAGTTACCATTTAACTTCCAATTATTGTATTAAAACAAGACATAATTGAATTTTGTAAACTGTTACATAAAAGCTGATTTAGAGTTAAGTTAAAACTATAAAATTGTCAATATTTTATTAGATCATAGGATAGGATGAATCACAAAGTATGCATATAGTTCTTTCAATAATTGAACATAAACTCCATGTTATCATATTTGATAACCCATTCAAATTCAAAAAGTACCAGTGTCTCAAATGCTGCCATGTCAAGTCGTATTTTGTTAAACAGAAAATTTTACAGCACACACACTACACACCCAGATCCCCAGTCTTTCACAATGTATTAGAAAACTTGAAAAAATAAACTACAGCTGTACTACAAAAAAATAACTCTGTCATAGATTAACTTGAAAGTGAGACCAACCATCAAGGAATCAAAGATGAGAGTTGTGAATCCCTCCCACACTTATTTTCCTTAAGGCAATGCTTCTCTTCATAGTTTATTGAACTATGAATTTCAGTCTTCAGAAGGAATAAGGACTTATTTTCTACTAGCATATACTTAAGCATTGTTTTCAATTAAGAGCTAGAAATTTAAAGAAGCAATCCTGTATTCATTAAAACTAAAGTCCTACATAGAAGATATACTGTAAGTTGTCCACCCTGGGCTTCTGGAATGTTAAACCTACAATCCTATGTATGTTTATTGAATTAAGTGCCTCTAAATGGACATCCAAAAGATTGCACTGTAAAGTAGTAAAATTTGAAAATATTCCTTCATCTAACATTCCATTAAATTACTGGTTGTACAGAGATCACCAGTACATAATTTTAATTTCATTAAAACAAGGCATATACATTCAATTACATTAAAAGAGATATGGGGGAAGATATCCTATTTTAAAAATGTATTTGCTAAAATCACTAAAAAACTTGCATTTAAAAATAGTTGATAAAAATATTCCTCTGGATTGTACAAGGCAGTGGTGAGAGAACCACTGATTAAAGACTGTTACTCAGATTTTTCTTTTTCTCCTGGTGTATCAGACACTGGATCCTGAAATGAGAAAATTTAGTAGTAGTAATACTTTATTTTCAAGTTCAAACTTAAAAGCACTTAAACCATGTCAAATTTGATATATAGGCCAACAAAACTTTTATATCATGAGCCAAGATGTATTAAATAGTTTCAGTTTAAATTTTTGCTTCAGTGTAGCCATTATAGATTCAATCCACAAGAGGAAAATATTTGAAATAAACTATGAAACACAATGAACCTAAACAATTAGATGCATTTTGAATTTAGAAGATTTAAGGTATACAATACTGTTCCATAACTAAGAGCTACAGTGTGAGTTATATCCCATCTGTGTTTTCTGTAATTCTATTCTATTAAGGAAACCAGGCAATTGCTGAATAATTAAGCTAGAGAATGTTATTTCATTATACTCAAATTAAACATAATATAAAATGATACATGGTTGAAATTTGATGAATTGATTTATATGCTCTGAATATTCAGGCTGAAAATTGTTCTCTGTGCTGTTAAATATGAATATTTGTAAGACACTAAGTCAAATCTATTTTTTACATTAGATATTTTATGAAAAGGAAACAGCAAATAGAAGACTAATGTACCAAACCCTGGATCAAGACCCCACTTTTTGAATCCAGAATAAAAGTTGAACTTCAGTGCCATTTTCAACTCTTGAACCCTGTTCTTTTTCCTACTCCCCTTTCACCCAATAAATAAGTACTGACACTAAATTTTTAAAGTGTCCTCACATGAATCCAACAGCAAGCTGTAAGGGTATGGTAGGAGGCATCTACAATGGTTCTCTGTTGAGGTGAAATGAAGTCTATCTTTTGAAACAGACAAATTAAATTAAAAGAAACCCCAGATATCTATGATGATTTGATAGAATTACCTCCTCACTTTTTCTTTCTCCATTTTCTGCAGGGGAGTTATCCTTTATTTCTTTTTTATTATTATCTTCAGTTTGTTTCTCTTTCAGTCCTTTTTTCCCTTTTGTTGAAGCTCTCTTTTCCTCAGACTTAACCTATAGTAATTCAGAATAGATAATTCATAAAGACAATTGTCAACCACTGATTGGCAACTTTATGTCTAAACCACTGGATAAAGCATTCAATAGTTACCCAAATAATACATTCCAGTTGCCAGGCAGCCAAATTTTGATTGTGTGACCATGGGTGATATGTGTGAATATGCATCATATCACTTTTTTCAGTTCCATTGTAAGTTTGAAAATCACTAATGAATGGTGGTAAGTCAAGGACAACCTGTACACTACAGTATTAAATTTCTGTTGAAAATAGTTTTGCAATTTGAAAAGTTTTACAAAACTAAGTAATCAGATCGTAAATTATAATAGAGATACCATGGTAGTTAAAAGTGCACATTTTAAAATCATCAGCCAACTTCCAAAGCAGACTTCAAGTAACTGAATATACTTCCCACAAAAAATAAAACCTTACCTTTGAAGTGGGCTTTTTTGGTTTTGTCTCGACTTTGGCAATGGCAGGTTTCTGAAAGGAACACAAATACGTGTTTATTATGCCTCTCTCTCTCTCTCTACAAATTATTCAAGTCAACCGAAATTTCTACTCACAGCCGATAATCGTGCGGATCGCCTCTTCGGCTGTTGCAAAAGAGAAGGACAAAAGCGTGAATTTAATAGCCTGCTCAATACCACCTACATAACCTCTTTCCCTCCGTTTCTGTAACTATTCCAGCCACATAACAGACACTCACCTCTTCTTCAGCAGGATTCACCTGTAACGAAACAGTTAATAGCATTAAAAACTGCGGGAGGTGACATCGCATGCGCATAACAGACTGAAACCATACCAGGAGCCGTGACTGCACACCCCCTTTCCCACCGCCGTTTCGGGATCTGTAGCCTGAGGCCGAGTTGCGCCAAAAGGCCACGCAAAATGTACGAGCCGGGAGTGCGCTCGAAGCTCTCGGACTTCCGAATTACTTTGATGGGAGGCCAGTAATAATCGCTACGTCCCCCCACCCCCTCTTAGCTCCCTCCGTGAGCACGGAAAAATTGAGCCTCGCGCCGAAGTCGTCGCAGAAAGCTATTTACAATTTTAAAAGAGAACGCCCTCCCGGTCTTATTTTGTTAAAATGCAATTTATCAATCATTAAAAAAAAGACGGCAAGATGAGGTAACGATGAGAAAGAGACTGTGCGTCCTTGACGCACGTTGTTAAGCGTGTGCGCGCGCCTGTCGCCAACCTTTCTCTTCGGCATGGCTGAGTAAGCTGCCCTCGCCTTTTCTTGTGCTTTATAGTTTGCCTTTAGCGTCAGGCCGCGCGGGCGCTTGTTACAGCCGGAGCAGTGACGACTGCCAGTTCTTACTCCAGCCTACAGGAGCCGGATTCTCACTGCTGCGCACAAACTGTTTCTTGCCTGCTGCCACCCCCCCCCTCCGCCCCCATCCCAGCAGCGCCAGCGGCACTGCAACAAGATCCAGCCGGATTGAAGGGAGGGCGCGCTCTCGCTCTCCTCAGCGCCGCCCTCTATTGACTGGGCGCGTTGGTTCCTATTGGCCGCCTGATTTGTAGGACAGCTAATAAACCTCAACACTGGGCCTCATCTGCGAGGCCAGATTTGTCCTTTTGAATTTGGTATACCTCGGAGACTCGGATGCCTTGAGGCGGATCTAACCGGGGTTCCGCCCACCCGCATACGTCACAGTTAGAAGTGTGACAGATGGCTATCGCATCTGCGCAGTATTGCTAAACGGCTCCTGTGGAGCACCGTCGCGCCACAAAGATGCGCGCTTGCGCATTTTTGACAAGTGGGCACCCGCCTTAATTGTCCGTTCGCGTAATTATTTATCCTGAGAAAAGTGTTTCTCTTTCTCCTTTTTCTTTACACATCTCTAAACCAAGACATGACTGAACTACGTGTTGAGACGAAACATTTGACGACGGAGGGTGGCGCATGGCTTCTCGTCCTGAGCTCCGTGTTGTTATGCAACCTTCTCAAAATCCTTCTACCCTCCTGTTCTTCCATTGTAAGTGTCATCGGGTTTCCATGGCGACCGCATCTATGCACTTTTCGACCTTTTTTATTTCTCAGTAGAAGAGAAACTATTGAATTGTCCCCTGAGGTTGGGAGAGAGATGCATGAGAGGAAACATTCCAAGGTCGCTTCCTACCCCATTTTTATTTTCTCCTTATATTTTTTAGTGTGGCAAGTTTCCAACCTAGTATTCTACTGCAAGTCCAAGATTTGCTAGCTAGCATAGATACAGCGAATTATAGTCCCAACGCATGTTCTTTCAGAGATGTTTCCTTGCCAGATTCCTCAATGCCTTCGACAATGATAGAGCTAATGTACTATCTTCACTGGAAAAATTCTTTAGAATTTTGGGAGGTATTTGGAGATGTATATTGAAAATAGCCTGTATAACACAGTTGTATTATACACAGTTAAAAACTATGTATAACACAGTTAAAAATGGAAATGCCTTGTGATACTTTGAATTATGTCATAAAATGATTTATGAACATTTTATGTCATTAAATGCTTTGTAACATTTGCCAGATTTCAGTTCCATGGGCATAATGGATTCCATGTTTTGGACACATTATGTAGGTTATGCCCATTTGAGGTACCTTGGCTCAAAAATGGTTGCCCTATGATGCACTGCTTTGCCCAGGTAAAAGATACACACAGTTTTTAGTATATAGATTCACAAGGAAATATCCATTGGATCATGGTGTTAAAGCTGAATAATCATTTGAAGTTTCTAAATGTACCTACAAAGGTTTGAGGAAACTAATTTTGCATCCTCATATAAGAATAAAATTAAGGCAGTCCTCAAAGCTAGCTTGTCTAGCTTCTGCTTTTGACCCCCCCAAAATGCAAAAGGGAATCCATGACACCTAATTAGAACCACATGTAAGTTTCTGTTAGTGTTAGAAAGTTGTCTTTCTAATTTTATTGGACTCTGCCTTTCTGTAATTTTTTTTTAGTGTAATTTCAGTTTGTAGGCAACTTTATTTCCAAAGACTCCAAAGGGCTTATAAAGTATTTTACAAAATAGGATTAAAACTGTTAGAAAAGCAACAGCAAGCTACGGGTTGTACTAATATTTGGGATAGTATGTTTTCTGTTCTGGAGTGCTTTCCTTGTAAACAGCTCTCCAAAAATGTAATAGAATCCTATTACAGCAAGCCTTCATTCCCAGATTTTACCAGATAAGCTGATTCAGCTTGGAACAGGAGTCTTACAGTTCAAATTTGATGAAATTCTAATTCTGAAAATAAAAACATTTTTTTCCAAATATTGTAAAGAACAGAATAACATTTGTTATGGATGTTGTGATTATTTTATGTAATAACCCTATGTTAGGACACTCATTTAAAATTATGAAATGAGACTAAACAGACTTTTAGACTTCCTTTTCTCTTTATCAGATATCTAGGTTGCTACAAAAGGATGCTGAGCAGGAATCTGAAATGCGATCCGATATTCAGAGCATGAAGCAAGAACTTTCTGCCATTAGTATGATGGATGAATTTGCCAGATATGCTCGATTGGAAAGAAAGATTAATAAAATGACAGATAAGCTTAAAACACATGGTACAGATTCGTTAAACTATTTTTTGCATAATGTCAATTCATTTTTGCCAGCTTTTTTCAAAAGTGTTGCCAGTCTTATAATTTCATAGTTACAAAACAAAATGGCGATATTGAAATGCATTTTTTCTGGGGATTAAGCTGTATGCTAGCTCATCATATATTCCTATGTGTACACTTTAGCTTTTTGAAGAAAATAAAACTTATATGTGCACTTTTAATTTAAATTAATTGTAGAGTTATTTTTGAAAATAATGCATTTTTTCATTTCATTAATTCATTTAATTAATTGGAATTTCTTAAAGACTTTTTTTACAGGTTTCTGTGTATGTATACATTCATACCAAGATTCAATTTATTTCACATCTAACGTTCTTTAATGCAGGTTATCAAAACTTAGCATAGATTTTTGAAAGAATCTGATTTTGGTATGACATTTCTAGAGTTGCTGAATTAGTAGAAAAATGTTTTAATAGCAATATTAAGATTTCGCTTTCACGTGCATGCACGCACACGCACACAGAGGTATATGTGTGTATTATGAAAAATATACACAAACATATATGGATTTATGTATTTATGCACATACATGTACACACACAGGTTTTATATACCTGAAAATACGACCTATCCAGAAAGTAAGTACTAGCTTGATTTTTTTACAAATGAGCCCAATATAAGCCCTAATTAACTTGCATGGTTAAAAATTAAGCTAGGGTGGGGATGGGTGAGTGGAGTTGCCCTAATACTTACCTTTGGACAGTTGCAGCCAGGCCTCGCACACCCCAACACCTGCCTTGCCAGCCCAGTTCTTCTGCATCTGGCAAGGCTTTCCTAAAGGCCTCTGTAGCTGATAACAGAGTTATCGGCTACAGAAGCCTTCAGGAAAGCCTTGCCGGCGGCAGAAGAAGTACCTGACACCTCTGACAGCGAAAAGGAGGCCGGGGCGGCACCTGCAAGTGAAATGAGTCAGTGGACAACCCCCCCCCCCAAATAAGACCTGGTGCTTTGGGGGGGCAGGGTCTTATTTTTGGGGAAGCACCCACACAGATATAGATATGGATGGATGGATACAGGTAGTCCTTGCTTTACAGCCACCATTCAGCCAAAATTATATGTTGGTAAGCAAGATAGTAGGTGAGTTTTACTACATTTTATGACAGTATAGTTGTTAAATGAATCACTGCTGCTAACATGGTTGTTAAGTGAATCTGGTTTCCCCATTGATTTTGCTTGTCAGAAGGTTGCTAAAGGTGACCACATGACCCTGGGACATAGCAATTGTCATAAATGAGTCACTTGCTAAGCATATGACCAGTGCTACAATAGTCATAAGTGTGAAAAATGGTCATAAACTATTATTTTCAGTGCTGTTGTAACTTCAAACAACAAATGGTAAGTTGAGGATTACTGATATATGTGTACAGAGGTCTATGTGCATGTGCATATACACACACACATACAGAGTATTCTACTGGTATGTTTTTTTTGGAATTTTTGTTTTGATTGTTCAAAAAATGTTAAAATAGAGATAAACAAGTAAAACAAGTAATTAGGGATGAAATAAAATTTGCCATAACAATATTACTTTTGTTGATAAAAATTACAAATTATTATTGTTTTCTGTTAACAGTGAAAACACGAACTGCTCAACTAGCCAAAATAAAGTGGGTAATAAATATTGTGTTCTACATTTTGCAAGTAAGTAAATTTGAATTATGTATGCTAAAGATACATGTAAAAATAAATTCTGTATATACGAGTTTAAAATGATTAATTAGTAATAAAAATAACAACAGAAAGTAAGATTAGAACTTCTTTCTATATGTCTGTTAGTGTTAGCTTTGTACGTGAATGGTACAGTTTCATAAAAAGCCATTCATTTTTCTGAAATACTTGCAATTTACAGTCAAATCAGACAGATTTGTGAATTAAGCCAAATGATTTTTCTTTTTTCCTGCCTGTATTTTGAGCAATTAATCATATAATATTGGGTTCAATGATGTGCACCCCGATGTGGCTAGGAAAGAATGCCTCAGTTCCTCTTCTTGAAATGCAGGTTAAAATCAAGAGTGCGACAACATATAATAATGTTTCTCATGTTTTTTGAAATAAAAAAGGGTCATATGAAATAGAGGGACCTGGATTGATGAAAATGTCCTTTTCACAAAATGGTATAGTTATATGATAGTAAGCTTCAGAAATATATACTATAGTTACCGTAGTAAAAATGCAATGGCTTTGTTTGCACCTTTCACACATATCTGATTTTTTTTTTAATTTCAGGGTGCCTTAATGATATCATTAATTTGGAAATATTACTCTGAACCAGTTACTGTGCTCCCAAGCAAATGGCTAGTCCCTTTGGAACGTTTAGTAGCTTTTCCAACAGGAGTGGCAGGTAAGGCTATTGCATGTAAAATACTGTACTTCCTGCTCTTTTGTATGAATCTAATACATCTTTCTGGTTTTTAAATACATTAAGTGGGTTTTCTTCAAAACTTTGATCCATAATTTATATCCCTGTATTTGTATTCTATAGATGTGTATTTAACAAACAAGCACACAAGTTAACATTTTTTTCAGAACAAACTTCAGCTCTATGAAATAAATTTTTCATAGAGTTGGAATGTTCCAAATCTAATGATCATCTGCCTGTTATTGTAAATAATATGGGGCCAAATAAATCAGTGTTTCAATTCTAGGACAGCTGTCTGTGTCTGACAACATGCCTGCAAGATAGAGCTACCATAGTTCAAATATTTAAGGAAAAACTGCATATTAAAGAGCCATAATTGTGGCTAAATATTTAAAAGAGTATATTTCACCTATTAATCATATTATATTTGGTTTATTCCTTAATGCATTTGAATATTTCTCATTGTGGGCCAGTTATATATTCCTTTAGAATTAGAATGAAAAGATAATATGCTAAAAGCAGTTTGTTGAGCAATTCCCATTCATTCCAATGAAAATTATAG